CCTTTTTAAATATTTTTTGAGCTGAAAATCACTAAAATATTGAAATCAAGTGGGTGGGGACTGGAAAAGAGTGAGTTGCCATGGGAACAGAACTTTTTACTGCCGTTGGTGTGCTATCTGTAGAACTATTGGCCTACCAAGTTTCAGTGGTCTGTGCTAGAAATTGACTAAGATAGCTCTATTTATATACTTGATATAATATTGGGTTGAGTATATGACGTCATCAGTTATCTCATTTGCATATTTTACACATTTTTCAAACTTAAATATCTCTGGAACGAATGCAGATATTTGCAAACGGTAAACGGCATTTTTATTCTTTCATGCCATTCTATGCGATCCACCAAAAAAATCAAGGGGTAAAAATTTGATCATAGTACCACTTTAAATTCATTACTCTTGAGACAGTGTCAGAGCTCCAGCTGCCACTAGTCACCTTCCAATTAGTTAGTTAGTGGAGGTTCAACTGTATGTTTCATGGAAATGTTGTGTGCATTTGGCCAGGCTTCTACTTAAAGCCTCTGCTTATATTTCCTCCTATAGGCAGATGCCTTTCTTTTTAGGACAATAGTCCAATAGTGAGCAGTCACCTCTCCTGTGTGATAAACACTTTTTCTGTTCCTATTAAGCATGTCTGCTTACACAAGTGAGTCTTGACTGTATTTTCTAAACCCAAATGAATGTTAGAAGGCTAAAAACTAGAAATACCAAACTTAAAACGAACCTGAGTACTGTCTCCTCTCTGTAACTGCCTTTTCCGTGTGCGACTACTTGCTGTAGTACCAAGGGAGGTTATAAAATCACGAGGACAGTCACTACAAAACTGTGTGCATGTCACTGGAGACTCATGTATGTTGAATGTGTAGGGAATTTCAAATGCTGAGGGCCTGTGAAGGAAATAGACACTGAAAATTAAACACATTTGAGAACGATGAAACTGGCCAGCATGGCTCTTCAACAATTTCACCTTTAAATGCACATAGGTCACATGTAAATTTACTTTCATTAATTTGGGATGGGTTTTAGTGGCCATTGCCATTGTAGAGGGTTAAAATTAAAGTGAATGTAATATGTACTTTTCGCAGGGACCAAAACAGGTGGCCGCTGTAAAGAGCTAGCTGTTGGTGGAGGTTCGCCTGTATTACGTCCACAAATTTGTAAGTTAGAAAACTTTGAATGCTGCTTGATTAGTTTCATCTGAATGGTCACACACAAAAGTTCCATCCACAGAATTGGTCAATACTTCCTTCATTAATTTAAAGAAAGGGGGTTTATGACTTAGAACTTGTCTGCTTGGCAGGTGAGTTTCAGGTGCTTGGCAATGGAAATAGAGTTAAATTGCAATCCTACTTTTCTGCATATGAGCCAAGGGGCCCATCAAGCTGGTGCTTATCTCAGGTTTCAGTAGCACAAAGTGTCTAAGAGTATTTCTACTCCCCCCTGGATGGGATCGATGCTAGTCCATCCAGGGGTTACCCCCAGCATTAAATTTGCCAGTAACCATTTATACACCCAGGTGGAGAGAGGGACTGGGAGAGTTAAGTGTCTTTCCCAAGAACACAACACAGTGTCCCCAGCCAATGTTTGAAACCAAACCACTTGATCTGGAGTAAGCGAACTAACATTGAGGCCACCGTGCCTCCACCAAACCTACTTGTACTGTTCTTAAAGTAAATAATAAATTGTTAAAGAGCAGTACTAGTTGGATTGCAAGAAATTCCAACAAGTAATAAATAAACAACATACTTTGCAGATGATGAAAGTAAGTCAAATACCAGGAGTTTCACTGGTGTCAACACAACAACGGCCCTGGGATCTTGAACATCTGTGAGGGAAGAAAGTAAAGAGTAACAGAACTTTTTATAGAATTTTACACTGTCTTGGAATACTGAAATCTGCCCAGCCCTTTGAAATATTAAATATACTGGTATTTAAGTATTTTAGACTTCTGGGCATGTAACATTGATTTTATAAACAACAGCGATTGGCTCGAATTATAATCCAAACAATATGCATGAAATTAAAAATGCACATGTATGTATTTCAACAAAATTTTAAATAATGTTACAGTGTTGAAAACTATCTCATTCCCTCCCTGTGCTCACTCATGAAATATTTTTCAACCCTTCAAGAGAAATTTNCTTCCTTTGTCAGATTTACCTGAAGAACATTTTAATGGTTTAATCGATCATTATTTACTGTCAAAACAGCACAAGTTATGCTAGCTGTAAGCTATCCAGCTGCTTTTGCCAGGTGGGCAAGCTGAAAATTGACAGAGATTGTTGACCTTTAAGGTGTTAACCCAGTCTATGATGACTGAGCATGCTTGATGGGTCCTTGTTGTTGTGGGTGAACTCATTCTCCTCCCCAGAGGCCACGCTTCTTTTGGTCAGCACCAAGAATCGCTACCTCTGGACTGGTCCAACACCGGGAGTCTGCGATTCATGGGTTTCCCATCAAATCTGAGAAATCTGATTGGAGAGTATATGACCAGAGGTCACAATTCTTGCTCCTGACCAAAAGGAGTGCGGCCTCTGGGGACAAGAATGGGGTTCACGAACTTGCTTGTAGTTCAAGCAATTCACCTTTAAGGACCTACAGTGCAGCTCAGATATATCCGAACCAAAATATACACATAATTCGTGTCAGCCCAATACACGTATAGGCATATGTATATATGCACATACACATATACAGTATCTACGCGTATGCCTGATTAGTGTGTATGAGCTAACGTATTGTTTTTTCTTTTCTTATCAGGTCATTGTTGTTTTCAATGGCTTGACAGCTTGCCACAGAGTGAGAAAGAGTTTTCTTTATTTTGAATATGCGTGTACAGTATAAGCACGTATGCCTTCAGACTAGACTTATTAGCAAAATGTTAGCTGAAACTAACATTTTGCAATTGGGCACTTGACAGAAAATTAACTGACTGAATATAATNNNNTTTTTTTTTTTTTTTCCGTCAAATAGAACCGGGGATACATGCTTCAACAATCCCATCTTCATGGAGCAAACACAACTGAAAGATAACTTTTTTTCGAAACAAAGTAAACACGGTCCAAGCAAACGAATGACTTGGAAACGTGTACTGAAACACACAACTTTTCCTTGAAGAAAATTAAAAATAATAAAATGTGAGCGCCGCACCATAGAAACTTCAATAAACAATTCTTTCGTAGGGGAAAGAGTATTTTACCATTTGAATGAACAGTTTGTGTCAGATATAACCGGAGATATAATTTTCTCGACAAGGTTTTTGGAACACTTCAAACAATAAACATTCTCGCAAGCGACTTGCTGACGCATGCTGAAACACAGAACTTTTCCTCCAAGAAAAAATAACTAAACATGAGCGACGTGCCAGTGAAACTTTGATAAACAATTGTTTGGCTAAAGAAAGAACATTTTATCGTTTGAATGAATGGTTTGTGTCAAATGTAACTGGAGATGTCATTTTTTCAACAAGGTCTTCGGAACGCTTCACACAGTAAACATCTCACAAGCAACTTGCCGACGCATGTCTAAACACAGAACTTTTCCTTGGGGAAAAAAATAACTAAACGTGAGCAGCGTGCCATGGAAACTTTGATAAACAATTATTTGGCTAAAGAAAGAGCATTTTACTGTTTGAATGAACGATTTGTGTCAAATAAAACTGGAGATATCATTTTTTCAACGAAGATCTTCAGAACAGTTCAGACAATAAACACTTCCCGAACGACTTGCTCACGCATGCCGAAACAAAGAACTTTTCCCTGAAGAAAAATAACTAAATGTGAGCAGCGCACCATAGAAACTTTGATAAGCAATTTTTTCATCAAGAAAAGAATATTTTACCATTTGAATGAATGATCTGTGTCAAATATAACCAGAGATATCATTTTTTCGACTAGGATCTTCAGAACGCTTAATTCAGACAAACATTTTGCAAATGACTTGCCAACACATGCCGAAATACAGATCTTTGTCGTAAAAACATTAAGTTCACATGTTAAAATAGGGAGTTCAAGCAACTGTTTCAATTTTCTTCCCATTTTTGGTAGCTTTAAATAAGATCAAGCGAGTGTTAGTAAACGGTAGTTTGTCAGTGAATTTGCGAAGTGATCAAAAACACGAAATATGATAGCTTTCATTGATCGGCAGGACATTTTAACAACATGCAAATTTCGCTTTGAAGCCTTTTTCATTCCTAGAAATATAATGTCCTTTGCTTGACCAACAATGCCTCACATTAAGAAACTTATAGGAATGCATAACAAAGAGACACATACGCACATATATACGCGCATATGTGCGCGTATATACACGTACATACGCGTATATGTGCACGTATTAACATACGCGTATATGCAAAATACGCTCATATAATACGCGTATGCGTATTTCGCATATATCTGAGCTGCACTGTAGCAAGTTTGTTATGGGTGTGAAGAGTGAATTAAAACTTAATAACAGCCCTGTTACTACATTATTTACACTAGTACAAAGAAAAACTCACTGTGGGGAACTAATGTGTCCACTGGTTTGTCACTGTTTTTAAGATTCCATACTGTCAAAGTACCATTGGTGTGAGAGCATATGAACTGTTTTCCATCATTCAACCAATATGCAGAGATCACAGACTATTGCAGTGAATACAGAACAAAGAAAGATCACTGATGAATCTTTTTTGAAATGACTCGAAACTCACAAATGCTTATTTCTGAACCAAACTAACTGGCCACTTAATCAAGGGTATCTGCTCTGGAAAGGGGGAGTACACTCCCTTATATGGGCTATGGTATGTTAGGTGCCAAAGGGTATGGCTTTTGAGCCAAGTTTGCTCTGAAATAGGGACCAGGTATACATTTTGGACATTTTGGTCTGAAATAGGGTATGGTTTGTGCACTCTGGTCTTGAATTGGGTATGTTTTAAGAGGGGTGAGGTCTGAAATAGGGTATTGAATATTGGGCCAGATCTAAAATAGGGTAAGGAAAATTGTCAGTCTTGGTTTGAAATAGGGAAGGGTTTCAAGAAACTGGCTGCACACCCCCACCAAATTTTTTTGAAAGTATCACCCCTGATCTGCTAAACGAAGGGTCCGCTTAATTGTGGTAAACTTAACAGTGGAGTCTCCTGAACCAGTCCCAGTCTGTTATGCTTGGACAATCATTGATAACAATTGCATCTATTTTGTTCATACCTGAGGACAAATACATCTGTGTTCTGCTGTTTTCCCTCTGAGAGACCAAACAACAACTGTTCCAGTTTCAAAACCTAAAAGCAACTACCAAATAAGAACATAATCAACACGCTTGAAATTGACGTGCACCATTTTAAGGATCAAAGTCACCACATAGATCATCAGTGCAAGCACATAACCTTGAATAAATGTCACATCATTGTTATTGGATATTTACTCAACAGCTAGATTTAATTTGCTCTCATCAGTTGCACTTTATCATAAAAATAACACAAAAACACAATGATAGCAAAATCCACAATATCCAGAGCCCTGGCAGTGCTCTTCCACAGAGCTGTGCCTTTTCTAAAAGGTGGCATTAGGTTCCGTTGGAAGGATAGAATTTTCTTGAGAATATGACAACCAGTAATTGGCAGCTAATACAGCCAGTCCAGTTTCTGTAGGATGAAACAACCTGGAGTATGGAGGTCTGGTCTGGTTATAATCACTTGTTAAACTACCTTATATTCATCACAGGCTCCTACCTTATTAGGGTCCACAGGGTTACCACTTATATGTACAACTGGACCTGGGTGAGTTTTACATTTTCTACAGAGAAAACAGGCATTTGTATTCAATATATGTTCATGTTTCACCTCTGGAGCTTATAGTAAACAAATGCAGTTACTGGCATGAACAATGGACCTCTTGAACGAAGTCACAATTTCTTGAATGTGTTTCTTCACAAATCAAACGAACCACTTCCACGAAATATAGAAATATAGAAAATACAAATACAAATACAAATGTGACANGGCACTTATCTCTTGTTTCTGTAGGATGAACCGACTAGGAGTATTTCTACTCCCCCTGGATATTTGGATGCTAGTCCATCACAGAGTTACCCCCAGCATTATATTAGCCACTATCCATTAAACACCTGGGTGGAGAGAGATACTGTGAGAATGGCTCGAAACCAGACCACTTGATCCAGAGGCAAACACACTAACCATGATGCCACTACACCTCCACAGTATAACTCAGTACACACCATTAATGGACAGTCCACAATACCTGGTTATTTGACTGGAAGGTGAATGGGTGCAATACAATATATTTTATGATGAGCACTGACTTAAACTGTATGCTTACTATCTATCTATACCTGTCTATTACTCTCTGATTCCAGTAATGATAATGAAAGGCTTACCTGAAGAGGCCTCCCAGAACTTCACAGATCCATCTGAGTGACTTCAACACAAAATCAAAAATATATAATCAGTTGGAATAAAGTTCACAGGAATGTGTTGACTGAAAGGCTTAAACTTTTTATTAGAAGACAAGATGTACTTTAAACATAACAGACCTTAAGATTAAAAAGCTGACTTACTATGTTTTGGTCTGACATTCTTACCCAGTGATAATGAGTTCCGAGGTACTAGTTACACTCAATGGTGATTCTGCTAAGATTCCACCAGCTATCGGCCATGCCTTAAAAGGAGTCAAGAGATGTCCATTTAGAACTAAACTTAGTTATTGAACTTAAAGTGGTACTATGATGAAAATCCCATCTTTCCTATCTAAGCCATTTTAAAACAAAAACAAGTAGTCTGTACGAGAAGAAAAACACTGTTTACTATTTTCAAATATCTCTTTTCGTTCCAGAGATATTTAAGTTTTTAAAATATGCAAATTAGCCAAGTGATGACATCATACACTCAACCAAA